ATTTATTATAAAAATAACTGGCAAAAATACCTCAAAATCATTTTTTTTTTACCAGTTCAAAGAAAAAAGAAGGAAGAAAATCAAAGCTTTCCTTTAGTTTGCCTGCTGCCGACAAGGCCCGGGTTCTCAGCAGAAAGGGAGTAGAATGTCTAAGGTATGGAGATGACACAGGCAGCAGTGTCTTCTCAACACTACTCATGGCAGTTATGACAGCATGCTTAAGACGCGCACAGGCTCAGGTCAGACGGAATCCCAACACATACATGTACATGAATGTGTGTGGCTGTGCATGCATATTTGTCTGTAAGAGTATGAAGCCAAACTGAATTAAGCATTTACTGACTGGACCGTCTCCCCCGTCTCTTATCGCCTATCTCTACCTCCTAGCTAAGGAGCTACTGGATATTGGCAACTAGTATCTGCTGGGGAAAAAAGTCGTTTTTTTTTAAGGGTGTGGCCCCTGGTAAATTGATCAAACTTTTCACACCACACGGATGATAGTCAGCAGCACACAGGCCGAACTTTATCACATCTTGAGGTGATATGAGCAGCGTTCTATCTCACAGATACCACTCTTAGGGTAAGGGTACAGTTCGGGAGTGTAACACAAGCTTAGCATGCAAAAGGCCCTAGCCAAAAAATACATACAGTAAAAACTAGATATTACTCCTTCTGGTCACTTATACATCTTATAAGAATCACAGTAAGTGAAAACATATCAAAAGTTGTCAGAATAATAACACTAAGTTTTCTAAGGTATTTTCTTCACCAAGGAAAAATGACCAAGATTTGATCCATAAAAAAAAAGAAAAGAAAAAGGAAAACAACTCTTTATCTTTATATGTATGTAGTGGGGTGTTCATGCGACTCGTGTGCAGGTGTATACTCATGTGTGTATGTGCACATGATGGAGGCCACAGGCTCAAGCACTGATACTGTTCCTCCATCACAATTCTGGGACAGGGTCTCGCACTAAGACTTCACTGATGTGGCCAGCAAGCTCCAATGACCTTCCTTTCTATCTCTACCTCCGGCCAGGACATATGACTGTTGAGTGACAGTTTCCTCCAAGTTTCAAACCTTTCGTGCTGCAGGGAAGGACTGTAAGCAGGAAGGTAAACCACTCGAAATAGCCTCAGGAAGTCCCTGAAACTGACCAGATCCCCTAGGCCCCTTCCTGGCAGAGAAAGTAATTAAAGCTGAGAGTCCCTCTCAGACAAGTCAGTCTGCCAAGACTCTGAGACCAGACCAGCGGCCTGGAAGCAGACACTAGCAGAGCTACCTGGAAGAGGCTTAAACCAACCGAGGCCCCTAGAAAAAACATTCTCCAAACTTTTGAGCTGCCTGTGGACTGTGCAGTGTGCTCCAGCTTCCTAGCTTTGTGAGCTGTCACCCATGCGGGGGTGGGCTTTGATGATGCAGCTTTCTTTGAGTCATTTTGCCTTTAGTCCTGTAAGTAACCCCTCACCCATATTTCTGTAACTCCTATGAAACTCATGGTTCACCAAGCTAGATTTTGGTGGTATCTGTCCTTTGGTTTGTCTCGGGTTCCCGATCTGAGGTGAGGTAAGCAGGCTCACGCGTGTGGCATGCATGTGTGCACACATGTGTGTGTTTTATCTCTCACAAAACAGCTGCTTATGTAGGTGCTGGGGAATCAAACCCCAGTCTTCAAGTTTGTATGGCGAGCAAGTTACCACCTGAGATACCACCTCAGCTTCAAAATAAAAAGATTTTAATTAAACGTATCTCTGAATAGTTCTCAAAGCAAACAGATATAGGCACAATGTCATTCTGACAGCTGCTCCAACAGAAGGCCATGTTACTTATCTCCCTACAAGATGAGGTAGCCAGCACAAAGTTTACCAAAAATGACTACTCTCCATCAAATCTTTACATCCAACTAACAATTTACAAAAAGTATGTGAGCCAGAGGAATAAATTAAATACAGACACAAGGGAAGAAGCATGGCACCCACCACACCTTTAATGCATCACTTGGGTGGTAGAGGCAGGCAGATCTCTGTGAGTGTGAGACCAGCCTGAGCTACAAAGCGAATTCCAGGACAGGCTTCAAAGCTACAGAGAAAGCCTGTCTCAAAAAGGTAAAAAAAAAAAAGAAAAGAAAAGTTGGCAACTACTCTCTAAAACTCTTAGATGTTTAGAAAGGGATCCTTGGGACTAGAGACAGCTCAGTAGTTAAAAACACTGGCTACTCTCCCAGAGGACCAGAGCTCTTTTCTCAGGCCCCACATGGAGGCTCACACCCATCTGCAGCTCCAGTTCTAAGGAATCCAGTGCTCTCCTCCAGACTCTGAGGCACAAGGTACACATGTATGCAAACAGACAAAACACCCGTACATATTAAATAGGATAATGACTTTTTTAATTATTAGGAACACTGAGGCTCGAGAGAAGGTCAGAGGTTAAGAGGTGCTCTTAGAGAAGGCCCAGGTGTGGGTCTCAGGACCCACATGCTGGCCCACAAACATCTGTAATGCCAGTTCCAAAAGATCCAACATGCTCTTCCAACCTCCGAGGAACCTAGGCACAAATGTGGTACAGATACAAACATGTAGGCAAAAAAAAACTCATATACACAAAAATAAATAAATAAATTAGAAAAAATTTTAAAAATTAATGGAGGAACTGGAGAGCGAGCTCAGTGGTTAAGAGCACTGGACACTCTTGAGGAAGACCCAGGTTCAGTCCCCAGAACCCACACTGCAGCTCACAACTGCCTCTTACTCCAGTTCCTGTTTCTTCTAGCTTTCATGAATACTGGGCATGCACCTGGTATACAAATACATACACAGGCAAAACTCATACACATAAAATAAAAATAAATCTTTAAAAAAGGGGAAGGGGGGGCTGGAGAGATGGCTCAGAGGTTAAAAGCATTGCCTGCTCTTCCAAAGGTCCTGAGTTCAATTCCCAGCAACCACATGGTGGCTCACGACCATCTGTAATGAGGTCTGGTGCCCTCTTCTGGCCTGCAAGCATACACACAGACAGAATATTGTATACATAATAAATAAATAAATAAATATTAAAAAAAAAAAAAAGGGGAAGGGGGGCTGGAGAGATGGCTCAGTGGTTAAGAGCATTGCCTGCTCTTCCAAAGGTCCTGAGTTCAATTCCCAGCAACCACATGGTGGCTCACAACCATCTGTAATGGGGTCTGGTGCCCTCTTCTGGCCTACGAGCATACACACAGACAGAATACTGTATACATAATAAATAAATAAATAAATATTAAAAAAAAAAAAAAGTTGTAATGGTTCGGTGAATGGTGGCACCTGCCTATGACCCCAGCACTCAGGAGGGAGAAACAAGATCACAAGCCCCAACCAGCCTAAGCTATAAGACCTAGTCATCCTGACTCAAACACTGCTAAAAATATTCTCCCTACTTGAGGCTTCTTCCATTACTTATAAACTTTATATTTACACTTTACAGGGCTGGAGGTGCAGCCCAGTTTATAAACTGCTTGACTACTGTTGCAAGCACCAGAGAAAACTAGATTGAATGGAGCAAACGTGTAATCACAGTACTTGGGAAGTAGAGACAGGAAGAGGGTCAGAAGTTCAAGGCCAACCTGGGTTATAGGAGCCTAATCTCAGAAATAAGGACAATCTTCCTTTTGATTAGACTTTAGGTTTTCAAGGCCCTGTCTCTTATGTAGCATTATTAATAAAGGTGCACCTTTATCTTTTTCTGATCTTGTTTTCCAACATACTCCATTAAACATCTGTCTTTTCTCCCCTGACTTGTGAAGGGATTTTCATTCCCACTGAAATTGCTAAGCAAAGGAAAGAGGATAAAAAGTAAGAAATCAATAGGGGGAAGGGAGAAAGAAGAGATACATAAGGGAAAATATATATATATATAATTATAAATAAAATATGCTATTATCAGGGGCTGGAGAGATGGCCCAGCAGTTAAGAGCACTGTCTGCTCCTCTAGAGGACCCGGGTTCAATTCTCAGGACCCATGAGGCCACTCACAACCATCTGTAACTCCAGTTCCAGGGATCTGACAACTTCAGAACAATGCACATATAATAAATTTAAATAAATTATTGTTTTAAAAAAGATACTATTATCAGGTTCCTGAGTGCCCACCATGTTTACAAAAGTATACAAGAAGTCAATGGCAAGCAGTATGGCTGCATATCTCTATGATATCTCTTAATGTGACTATCACTCATTTTCCTTGAAAATGGGAATTTTGCAAGTGAGCCTGAAACATCTCTTTTTAAAAATGAAATCAGATATATAAAACGTGAATCTATAAGATACAGCTGTGCTGACTAGTTTATATCAACTTGACACAAGCCACAATCATGTTGCAAGAGGATGAATCTCAATTGAGAAAATGCCCCCACCAGATTGGCCTGTGGGCAAGCCTGTGCTACATTTTCTATTTTTGTTTGTTTGTTTGTTTTTCGAGACAGGGTTTCTGTGTGGGACTCACGCTGGAACTCACACTGTAGACCAGGCTGGCCTCAAACTCATAGAAATCCACCTGCCTCTGCCTCCTGAGTGCTGGGATTAAATGCATGCATCACCACCACCCAGAACCTGTGGTACATTTTCTTGATTGATGTTTGATATGAGAAGGCCCAGATCACTATGGGTAGTGCCCCGCCCCGAGACTGGTGGTTCTGGATCATATAAGAAAGCAGGGTGGACAAGCCAAGAGGAGAAAGACAGCAAGCTGCTCTCCTCCATGGAGTCTGCTTCAGCTCCTGCCGCCAGGTTCCTGCCTGGCGTCCCTGCCTGGAGTTCCTGCCCTGACTTTCCTCAATGATAGATTGTTACCTAGAAGAGAAGGAAGAAATAAACCCCTTTCTTCTCAAGTTGCTTTTGGTCAGGGTGTTTCATCACAGCAATAGAAACCCTATCTGAGACAATAGTTCTTTGTTCCATTAGAGACCATGTACCAGAAAAAGGAAACTAGCCTCCATCAGTCATCATCATCATCATCCAAACGCATACCTTTTCTTTTCAGCCAGATTAGCGCCTTCGTCCTTCAGCTGCTTGCTCTTCAGTTTGCAGCCTTCCTGGAGGGTTTCCTTCCTCCGTTTGCTGGCATGAACCCAGCTCCCATCCTCGTTCTCAGCCGCATCCTTCTCATCGGCAGCTTCAGCTTCAAACTGCTGCGATGTGGCCTTGGATACCTTCTCACCAATCTTCCTCTTCCACCCAAAGGAAGCCATTCTGGAAAATTTCAGAAACCGCTTTAAAATGCTGCAAAGGTACTCTAATGACCAGGTGGAGACAGACTGACACAAGGAGACCACAGCCTTGCTAGCACCTCCTCAGGGATCAAGGGAATAACCAAGAACTCTAAGACTTCATAGATAGCACCTGGGCACTATTGTTTACCTCATTGCCTAATGGATGTGTGTGCTCTAGCAGACTAACCCTGGATCCCAACAGGCCTCTGCCAATTTATACAGAACCCACGACAGATTAAAGCAGGATAGTAACACATCAGATGTGGCAATGGCAAGCAGAACCTGAAGAAAAACATAACTGTTTGGATGAAAGAATAAACCACAACGCTGGCTGAACAACTGACAATATAAGTCACTCCTGTTTTTCAGTTGTTTTAATAGTATGATTGAATTTCCAAAAAAAAAAAAAACCTTTCCTTTAAGAACTACAAGCAAAGTGTTTATTATAAAATTGAATGAGAGTCTGAATACAGCTGTCCTAGAACTAAAAATTCTAGCTCAGAGTGGATTTGTGATCCTCCCATCTCAGCCTCCCATGTGCTAACTACAAACGTGTGCCGCTACACCTGGCTATAGAATAGTTTTTAAAGATATAAACAGGTAATGACTCAACAAAACTTTTGGGTAAGTAAATATATATATATATAATGGCTTTGTAAATCTATCATGATATTCAAAAGCTAAGGAAAAGAAAGGGCGGCTGATAGAATAAAGATGAATACTGAAAGTCTTCAACAGTACTCACTGACAGGATTAACTAATACATCCAGTAATTCCCTAGCTACACAGGTGGACTTTAAGATACAGAAGAATCCGAGCCAGTAGTGGTGTCCCAGGCCTTTAATCCCAGCACTTGGGGGGGTGGGGCATTATCAGGTGGATCTCTGTGAGTTCAAGGGCAGCCTGGTCTACAGAGTGAGTTCCAGGACTGTAGCACAAATTCTAGTTGGTCTTAATTAATCAAAATAAAGAGTCGGATATTGGGCTAAAGCTGAAGATCAGAGAAGCAGAGCAGTAAGCCACTAGAGAGACCTTTTATGTCTACCAGTGCTGAGACTTGAAGGGGCAATCCTCAGACTAACCAGACTGCACTGTGTCTCTCAAACCTCAGACTCCACTGAGCTATCACCTCCTCCTTCTATACCTCTCTTTGCCCAGCCGTATCACTCCTGTCTCCACCTCCCTAGTGCTGGGATTAAAGGCATGGGATTCCAAGGGCTGGGATCACCTTTGTGTGAGTTCTATTTCTCTTCTTAGACAGATTCAATCTTGCGTGGCTCAGGGTAGCCTTGAGTCTTGGGATTAGCTCTGCACTCTAATCTTCAAGCAAGCTTTATTTATTAAAACACAAACAAAATATCACTATACAGGCCATCAGGGCTGTTACATAGAAAAATCCTGTCTTGAAAAACCAAGATAAATAAATAACTGCATATCTTATACGCCATGTAGCTTATATGCTGTGTATATTCAGGAGTGTCTAAGATTCTATCCATTCTTAGAGGAATCTGTAACCTTAAGGAGACAAGCAAAAAGCAATAAATCAGAGGTCTTTTGAAATTATCAAACAATCGGTATTTAGAGAGGGAGGAAGGAAGGCAGGCAGGCAACGGTAAGTTCCTAGCAGTATAAAGGGATTCGTTACTGATGCACGTGACTGAAGTGGAATATAAGTAAAGACAGGAGGAGGAAAAAGTGAGGGTGGATAAAAGCCATTCCCACACAAAATCCCAAGTTACTATCAGCCTTGAGAAAATTGTGGGTCACAGGCCTGTTACTACACTAGAGAAAACGCATCCGGTCACCGCAAGCACCAAGCACATGGGCGGCTGCAGGCAAACCACGTGCTTTCCACAGAGCAGTGAATTTTGGGAAATCCTGAGTGCATTGTGGAGTATAACCTGCACTAGGAAATTAGGACAATGGGAACTTCCTCCTTGGCTTCATCATGTCATGGGGAAATGTATTTCCTCTGTCTGAAAAAATCACTTTATATATCCCAGGAGGAGACCAGGAAATGGCTAAAAATAGAAGAATGGTTACTATGGATCACAAATCCAGAGGCACAGGGTGAAGACAGCCTGGGGAAATGGATGCTTGGGGTGCCTTCAAAAGATACTAAAACAGAAGTAGGCGAGGAGCTGGTGGTGGTGGTTGCTCTCTTGCTTTTATGACTATCCCCAAAAGTAATGACAAAGATGGTCACGTTATCTGGTTTCAACTTCCCAAATGGACCTTACTTTACCAATTACCAATCACTGGTCAAATCTGTTGGGAGAAGCTGAAGATTGGATGAGGAGAAAAAGAATGAAGGGCCCTCGTGTGTGTGTGTGTGTGTGTGTGTGTGTGTGTGTGTGTGTGTCGCAATAGAGGCTACCGAGTCACGCAATCTATATGAGGGGCATTGTAATAACATGCCAGTTACATCTCAACTAGACTGTTTTCATTTTCAACTACTAGTTCCTTGTACCTCTAAGATCGTGTTTTTAATTAGCTTATCACTAAAAAAAAAAAAACCCTAACAAGAGGGGCTTTGGTAGATCTGGACTTGGACGGAAAAGGCGCCAAGATCCTAAACACTTTTTTTCACCAGGATTAAGAAGCCAAGTGAGTTAAAAAAAAAAAAAAAAAAAAAAACAACTGTACAGGTTTCGCGTTAATGCACGATTCAAGTCTGGTGTTAAAGTCAACATGTTCTACAGAATCAATGAGTGGGATCAAAATTCTAAACAATGGCACCTGCGTTCTAAATTTATGTACAACGATCCCCACAGAGATCGCTAGACTTGACACTTGACCCAGCCACAAGCTGGCGGGTGCTTGCGACAGAGTAAACGTTGTCTTGCACCGACTGCGTGAGAGGATGCGGCGCCCAGGATGGAAAAACACCGGCTGGGACGTAGAGCATCCCACCGAGCAGAAGAGACGTATTCGGAGAAGAGACGAATTAAAAGACACGGTTTATCTCAAAACGCTACCAAAGGAGAATTCATTCCCCTTCCTAGGCCGACAATAACCACGAGCCCGCAGCCGCAGCTCCTCAGGCCACCGGCCACCGCGCCCCGCGCCCGGGACAGCAGCAAACCTGCGGGCTCCGTGGACCTCACCGGGCCGCGCTCGCCCCCCTCTCCCGCACGCAGCACCCTCTCGCCTCGCTTCCCTCCCCTCTGTCTTCTACCGCCTACTCGCAGTTACCTGAAAGCCACTCCGTGGTCCCGTGTTTACATTCCACGTGCCCTTTGGCACCGGAAGCAGAAATGATCCCGCCGGCCCCCTAACAGACCTTGCCTGCCTGTGCGTTTTAATTCTCAATTAAATACGCATGAAGTCGTCCGGGGACGTTCGAACAACCCAGAAAAGCGGATAGAAGAAGAGGACTTTCTTATCCGCCAGCACCTTCAACAAGCCCCCTGATCCCAGAAGTCACTGCGGCGCCCAAGGTACTATGGGATTTGTAGTAGGGCCACCAGACCAGCGCGCCCTCTAGCAGCAGCCGCGAGTGGCTGACTTGGGGCAGGAGGCTCGGGCAGTAATCATTTGTAATACACACAGTCATCAGGTGAGGGGCTTAGACTAGCCTAGCCAGGCCTAGCAGGTGAGGGCCAGTGAGACGCAGAAAAAAGAGGAAAAAACTGAGCTGGAAACAAGTTCAAGGGACCTGCGCTGACTAATTTTTGTCAACTTGACACAAACCTAAACATGGCTGGCAAGAGGGAATCTTAATTAGGAAAATGCCTTCATAAGACTGGCCTCTAGGTAAATCTGTGGGGGTATTGTCTTAATGATTGGTGTGGGAGGACCCCATCCCTACCCCCACCCCTCCCATGATAAATGGTTTCATCCTCCAGGCAGGTGGTTCCTGGTCGGTATTAGGAAGCAAACTGAGCAAGTCAGGAGGAGCAAACCAATAAGCAGCCTTCCACCAGGGCATCAAATTCCTTCCTACCTCCCAGTTCCTGCCCTTCTTGAGTTCCTGCCCCTGCCTTCCTGCTACGACGTGGAACTATAAACTGAAGTAACCCTTTCCTCCCCAAGTAGACTCTGATCGTGGTGTTTTAGCCCAGCAATTGAAAACTCAGACGCAAGCTGATCAGGGAGAGCCAAGGCTAAACTGCAGACTTCCAAGTGAGAATCTACAACACAGCGTGCAAGTAGCACTGGGCCATTTCTTACAAGAATATTACAGGCAAATGTTAACACTGGTGTATGCTGAGGAGACCCATTTTTGGAAACTACGCTTCTTCAACCTCAGCACTTAGCATTTCTTACCGGTTAGTTATTTTTTGGGAGAAACATTTTAGGGTGCTGAGACGCCATTAAGTAACACTCCCCATGCCCCAGTCACGAACAGGACCAACAAACTGTTTCTCTCAGAAATATCAAACATACCCTGGAAGAAAAATCCTACCCCCATCACTGGCACCAAAAGCACTGACTCAAGGCTGTAAAGGCTTGCTGCTCCTGCAGAGGGCTCAGTTCTCAACACTCCAAGGTCTGTGCAGCACACCATAACTCCAGCTAAGGGATCTGTCCCCCCACCTCCGGCCTCCATGCTAATATGCAGGCAAAACACTCCATAATGAGATCTGGTGCCCTCTTCTGGCCTACAGGCAGAATACTGTATCCATAATTAATAAAATCTTTTATATGTAGATAGATATATATCAGGCGATGGTGGCACACACCTTTAATCCCAGCACTCTGGGAGACAGAGACAGGCGGATCTCTGTGAGTTCGAGGCCAGCCCGGTCTACAAAATGAGTATCAGGAAAGCCAAGGCTGATACAGAGAAACCCTGTCTCAAAAAAAAAAAAAAACTCTTCACAAATTCAAGCCAGTGTTTCTTAGCCTATATGAATTAAGACCCTTCCATCATCCATCACCAACATTCTTAGATGTTGCCATTTCTCACAAACGATGCTGCATTGGTTGAAGGCAAGGATGCGAAGCTGCAATGGCAGTGATGCAGTCCTCCATCACACCCCTACAGTGTAACTCTGGGGTACAGTGTTCTTCTGAGATGAGGCCTGTGGTACCTGGCAAGACTCCAACTTTCAGGCTCACTTTAATAAACCAATTATCCCGGCTTCCTCAAGGACCTTGCTGAATGATGGCCTTTATTTTTCTACCGGACCAAGTACTTTGCTGCTACTGAGAGTAGGCTGGACAAGACAGCCCAGCGGTTGAGAACACTGGCTCCTGCTTTGCCGGAGACCCAAGTTCAGTTCCCAACACCACCACGTGACGGCTCACCCTAGGGGATCCCAACACTGTGTTCTGGCCTCTGCAGGTGCCTGCGCACAATCACCTACACACCACTAAGAATAAAATCAGTTCTTCAAGGCTATTATAAGTTGAAGTTCTACTTCCTTGCGGAACACAACTTGTTTTGGAGCCACTGATGAACTTATTATTCACACTTGGGTATTTGACCTTTTCTTGAAATGAGCAAAGCAAGGGGTTCGTGAGATGACTCAGCGGGTGAGGATGCTTGCTGCTGAACAGGATGATGAGTTCCATCCCTAGAGTGCAAAGAGAGTTGTCTGGCCTCCATATCTGTGCTACGGCATGCAAACACACACACTCTCTCTCTCTCTCTCTCTCCATTTTTCTTAGAAAAGGAACTCTTGTTTCATGAAAAACAGCTAACACTGTCTGTACCAATGATAAAATTATAGCGATCTTGACAGTTTCCCAATACGTCTAGACGTGGAGATAATGGTCTCAGATGCAATTTTTATTTATAATTTGACTACGTTCATTAACTCTTTCAATGGTTGTAAAGTAAGCCAGTATTCTCAAAGTAACCAGGGCATGGCTGGTAGCCAGCCTCTAAAATGGGCTTTAGTGCTTCCGAGCCCTGGTATTCTTCCCACGATGTGGCAGAATTGGTCTGTATCCTCACTCTCATTAATCACAGTAGGCACAGTGGTGGGGGCATGTTCGTCCTGGATGGAGGTGACGTGGTCACATTCATTGCAACACCGAATACCCTGAAACACTAAACACCCACCAAGTCCACACTTACATTTGTTGTACTTTAGTGCATATGTGTGTGTCTCCACCCATCCCTAACAAGATGGATGGAGCAGGATTTGTATCTTGGGAGTCGTGGTCATGTTTGTCATGAAGGTTTCACAATGGCCATCTGGGGGAACGAATAGTACTTGAGGCTCTGTGCCTTCTAGGTCTCTCAGGGTGGCTTAACTTTGAGGTCCTCTACTCCCGTAACGGCTTGGCAACCGCCTCCAAGTCACTAAACATCCTCTCAATATTTGTTACTATTTATTGGCATTTACAGCAGAACTTTATTTATTCATAGTAAATAAGACCGCTTAATAGATGCTGCTCCACAAGACAGTTTCTTGTGCAAATCTGCAGAGAAGGCCTAGAGAAATGAGTTCTCCAAATGTACTTTGCTGTTCATAAGACTCTGCGATGCGGCTTTGCTGTCTTGAGTATTTAGAAAGTCAGCAGTCCAGCAAAAGCCCCAAGCGTACGAAGGGTTTTAGATTTACTAGCAACTGTATTCGAGCAGTGACGGATTGCTGCCCAGGGTTTGTGACCAGGATGTGACAGCTGCTCAGCGTTTCTGCTTGCATCTAAGTATTTTGTTTAGATGGCTGATTTCTAGGTGAAATCAAATTTACGAGAGACGAAAAGCAGTGTTTTGAGTACTAAACTATAATCAAGCACAATTTTCTATTTCAGTCCACGAAGGAGCCCAGATACTCAGCTGTGTGCGAACCAGTGAACCTCCACCTATCACACCTACATTGAACAAGAAAGACAAACCAGGTGAAAAATGAATGTCTCTATTTATTATGCCATCTTTCTAAATCCAGGTACTCTGGGCAATCATACATAAAGCACAAAGATTGATTCCACCCAAAACCAACTTACAGCTCGGCTGTGGGTGGATTTCATTCATCTTGTCGGAGCCCACAATGAACGGGGGAGAGGAAGGAGAAAAGGAGAAGAAAGATTTAGACATAGTTTTCCTTCATTCCCAAGACGCCGCTTGGGACACAGATCTTACACACCCCAGTTCATTTGTGAATGATATCAAAGATCCAAAGGATGGTGTCAGGAAGGGAGAGAATTGATATAAAATTATCTAAAACTCCAAAATACTACAAAAGCATCTTGAGAAAAGATATAATCAAATTAAAAGCAATGGTGTTTATTTCAGTGAAATTATTTTAAATTAGATATATTAAGCTCCCACATGTCCCAACTTGGTAGAAAAGTTCCTTTCGTGAGAAATCAATTTTAATGGCAAATTTTTTACATACCAGCAAAATCTGTTATATTTAAAACTATGTATACAGTACTTTTCTGGCAAAACCTTATACAGCTTTCAGTTGTCAAGACAAAGTAAAAATATGGTTGCATAAAATCACAAAAAATATAAATTGCTGAAAAGATAATAAAAAAGATTAAAAATCATTTGCATTAACTCCCCTTACATGTTCAATATAAGAATTTGCAAACTACATTTGTGAAAATTCTGTTGCTAGCTTGACATACTTAACTGAAAGTTGTCATTTCAAATATCCTAGCTTTAAAAAAAACTGACTGCAATAGTCTGCATTTATCATCCTGTTTATACAAGTGCAATATTTAAATATCTTCAAAATAAAACTCGGTAACTAAAAGGAATCACAGAATAACTTATAAAAGAAGCAAAGTTTACAAAATTAACAATTTTTAGAAGGTCCTATTTCATTGGTTCCTCCTTTTGTGCCTCTCCCCCCCAGCAGTTTATAGAGATATTCCTTAGTCCTATTTACAAATCTGTAACTTCAAAAATGCAGTCTTCCGTCCTTCACATCGGGAACACAATGCTGCATTCGGACAGCATGAGTGACGTCAGTAACCCCAAACAGAGGACACACACACAGGTATAAATACAGTTTGGAACTCATATAAATGGAGTCTCCATTACTTTATACAGCATTCAAATTGGAGTTGAATAAAACAAGCCCTGAACAAAAAGAATCATAGTTTTTGTTCGGAATTCAGTGCATAAACTATAGAGTCATCTTTTATGCAAGCTATCATGACCTCCAAATTCACTGCCATCTGGTTACATAAGTGCTCAACTGATTTGGGGAGTGAGGGGACTTTAAATGAATGCAGTGAAAAAAAGTCTGTCCTAAAAAAAGGGAAGATGATTAATGTTTAAAGAAAAAAGTAGTTTTGCATTGCTGGGATCAAACCCACAAACTGGGTGTGCCCCAGGCAAGCACTACCACTGAACTAGAGCCTCGGACTCAATTTAAATTTAAAAGAAGCCAGATATGGGCAATACGAAATGAATAGTTAGCTCATCAAATATCAGCTTTGTCTTATGAAATTTTAAACCTTCATTTACAACTATTATGCTATGCTATCACTCAACGGGGAGGTATATAAATCAAAGATCTAAGAAAGATTAAACTCCTTTAGCAGCTAATATTTTAAAAATTAAAACCTGAAATAAACTTGACCATTTTGAAGAACTGATTTCTTCTACACTTTTTCAAAATAATATTAACCTGATTAAAGAGCTACAACTGAAATCGGACTGTAACTTAAATGGGATTCCGGACAGGTAAGAGATAAATATGGAAGACCATGCACTATGTGGAAATTACTGATTTTATAATGGATTCAAGAGTTCCTTACAGGACGATAGCATTATTTTTAGGAGATGCTAAAAGTGCTTAGGGGGTTATTGTAGAAGTGAACTTAGGACTTTGGAATCTCTGAATATAGAAATTCCTTGGGTTTAGAGGCTTACAAGCTAAAGAAAAATTTTAAATTGAGCCTGTATCTGATATGACTTGCCACACAAGTGCTTAGGGCTGGTATGTGTATCTTAAACTCTCAATGGTTCAGAACAAAATCATACATACATTCAAAGATATATGCATATCTATGCTTTTGTACATATATGGACCTAAAGAGCAAATGCAGCCAGAGCGGCTGTTGGAACTGAGTCAGATACACGTGCAAGCGCTATACTCTTTCAACTGTCCTTTTTTAAAATACGTCCAGAATAAAATCAGGGGTTAAAAATCCAATCCAAGCATTCGAAGCTTATAAAAGACTTCCTTTCTATGCACTAAGTCAATTTTAAAAATACACAATCAAGTGACATTCAGTACTGTCATCACGATAGCCAGAAGACTCTGTTGACGGTGACAAAAACATGATTCAGTACAGTATGGGCACTCGACTCGTGGATCCAAAGCAGCACTTCATACACAAAACATGAGGGGGAAATTGCAGAAGTGAACTTGGGTTTGGAGGCTTACAAGCTAATGAAAATTTTTAAATTGAGTCTGTATCTGCTATGACTTACCACACAAAATAGCATTTTAAGAAGGGTACGGAAATAGTTCACAATGTTACCAGAAATGGAAATAGTAAATATTTAAGAAGCTAAGGAGCCCAGAAAACAGAATCACCTAAGGTCTATGGGGATTCTAGGCAAATAATTCATGTAGCAAATATAAACCACATCAACATATATGAAGGCTTTTATGGTAAATTTATGGCCTACACAGCCCTGCTGTACCAAATTAAAATGGTCAAAAATCAAGTGAGCCTGATCCTACAATCCATTCTGTGTATATTATGATATATGTACCTATTGAATAAGGGACAACAGAATGGTCCCAGTTCATTTCTGCACATAGGCTTCTAATTATCAATCATTTTCCAATCCCTGTGCAAACTGCATTCCAAAAGGCCAATCCTTAGTTATAATCATATATATATATATATATATAACTTGGTAAGTGGAAGTGTTTGGCTATTATTTATTATGCATGCTTATTGCATCAAAGAAATAAGCAAAGTTTTAGGTTTACTGGGCAAGAATTTTAATTAGATTTGCACACATCTCAAAAAATTCTATTGTGTGACTTCCTGGTCTTGGAGCGAAGTCAACAGGAGAAGAGTCGAGCGAGGTCACAGATGAGGTAAGAGAAACTTCTGAGGGTTTTCCTTGAGCCTCAGCATCAGAGTCACTCCTTTGGCAAGATCGGTAGTTGCTGATGGATCCCGATCTCTGTGGAGTAGCTGTCCCAGATTTGGCTTCTGTAATTTCATCTGGTGGAAAAGAATTTGAACATGTTACTCTTTCTCCCTCAAGTGTTCCAACAGTATGGGTCAGACTCTTTAAGTGAGATTACTGACCAGCTCCCAGGAGCACGTTTCTCTTAAATACATGCTCAAATGGGGGCAGTGTGCCTGGAGTAAGCCACTCAGCATCTCCACACAGCACGAAGAATGCCTATGATGGCCAGTCTACACAGGTACATAAACTACCACTCTTGTCTTTTATGCTGATTTAAGAGCCAGGAAACTAATATCCTGGGTTTTAATAAAAATCCCCTAGCACTAATATTCTTTTCTATTAAGACCACAGAATTAATCACTTGAAATATAGAAGGTATCTCGGAAATCATTTCACGCAAGAACCATTTATTATACTGATAGGAAACAAAGCTAGAAAAGTCAAGTGATTTGTTCAAAGAAACAAATGAGCAGAAAGCTTCAGTAGCTCGGGTGCTCCACTCTCCTGACTTCAGTTCAGTGCTTTGTGCACTGCAGTCTCTCATATTCACTTAAAAGCATAGCAGGGAAACAATTCCAATAAGCAAAATCAGAAAAGACCAGGCCTAGTGGTACGGGCCTTCAATCCCAGCTACTCGGGAAGCTAAAACCAGGATGACCCTAAGTTCGGAGTTCAAGGACAACCTGGGTAGACTTCCCTCAAAATAACAAGTAAAAAGGGGGTTGGAGTTAGAACTCATTGAGAAGTACCGGTTTCATCTCTAGTACCACAAAAGTATCGCTAAAAATAAAATCACAGAGAAACTAAAGAACAATCACAGAGAATGAAATCTAAGTAGAACTAAAATACTATAACAGAGGAAGTTGGAGAGATGGCTCAGCAGTTAAGAGCACTGCCTGCTCTTCCAAAGGTCCTGAGTTCAATTCCCAGCAACCACATGGTGGCTCACAACCATCTGTAATGAGATCTGGTGCCCTCTTCTGGCCTGTAGACATACACACAGACAGAATATTGTATACATAATAAATAAATAAATAAATATTTCTTTTAAAAAAATACTATAACAGAAATATAGAAACAGCAAATTTCATATAGTTGGTCAAGCCCAAGAGTGGATATAACTAAGACTGCAAAATTATCTAAATACCGAGAAACAAATAATACTCGTGCCTGATCTCAAACTGTATTGGTATATGTTAGCTGGCAGGGACATGCTATCCAGACATCTGTGCATGGTGCACACCTGTAACCCAGCATTCAGAGATGGAGCAAAGAGGACCGACTCTTTAAAGCCAGGCCAGCCTACATAGAAGACCCTGCCTCAAAAATCAATCAATCAATAAACAAATAAAAAGTCAATCAATAAATCAACAAGCCGACTATCAGGTTGGTCAGTGTATATCATAGCTCAAGCCTCTGTTTTTCTTATACTCTGTAGGTGCTGTCTTTGAGTCTATACGTAATAATTCTAGATATCCTCCCATAGATACTGGTATAAGTGATTTGGAAGAATAGCCATAATGTAGTATTTAATTTTAAAAGTACTTAATGGTGAATAAAACTACAATAACATCGACATTTACTTTTAAATAAAAAATTTATGTTGACAAAATGAACCTTACAAAGTGACAGAAATATGAAAGAGAATTATCAGTTTAGGATTAAACTGTATATTTTTTTAAACTAATGCATTATTTATTTTTGGAATTTGCCATGTGATACTTTGAGGCTTTGATGGACCAGGGTGGGTGACAGAAGCCACAAAAAAAAGCCAAACTGAGGGTGTATTTATATAGATGAAGATAGCAGGTTCTAGAACGATCTAAAGAGCCAGCTGGTAAACACGTGGCTGCTGCCATCCCAGAGCCGACTGTAAACTGTATATTTTTAAAAAGTTTTCAGGATAATAATCATTTTCTACTTTGGGAGAAATGGTAATGGTGACTAAAGCCAGTGTTTTGTGTATGCAAGGCAAGAAAGAACATCACTACTGAACTACATCCCTAGCCCCAAAATGATAATCTGTTAAAGAACATTGTTCTACATGGAACAAGAATAATAGGACTCACAATCGTCAGTGTCAGTGTCATGTTTACTATTACTTACCAGGAAAAAGGCAGGAAGCTTCATGAGACAAAGGTTGAGGTGGGGAAGGCAGTGGGGGAGGGGATAAAAACAAAGCACACGGAGGAAAGGGTCACGCTGGGGGCCGGGAGATCAATGGCTCCGTGGATAAACAGCCCACTACACTGCATCAGGACCTCAGTTCCCGTCCCCACACCCATGGAAAAGTCAGGCCAGGAGGTGAACATCTGTAACCCTGGCACTGGAGCCTGGAAATGAGAAGATCCCTGGGCTTGCTGGCCAGTGAGTCTGACCTAAAGGGCCACTTCCTCTTCGGAAAGAGACCTTGTCTCAAAAGTGAGATGCAGAGTGATAGAGGAAGGCAGTCCGCATTGAGCTGTGCTGCTCCCACCCATGCACACATGGGTGAGTGCGCCAAAACACACCTGCGGAGGGAGGGAGGGAGAGAGGGAGGGAGGGAGGGAGGGAGGGAGGGAGGGAGGGAGGGAGGGAGGGAGGGAGGGAGGGAGGGAGGGAGGGAGGGAGGGAGGGAGGGAGGGAGGGAGGGAGGGAGGGAGGGAGGGGGGAGAAAAGGTATTGCCATATTGAAACTTATTACTTTGCATGCTTAGTTTTAATTAAAAACAAAACAAATGACTATAAACCAAATTAGGTAACGAAGTCTATCTGTGGGTCTGTGGGTACATACCATCAATACTACGGAAATCCAATAAGTAAGTCCGACTGTCCACCTGGTATAGCTGTAGACTCATTTTGGAAAATGTGCTTGTCACAGGATTCTTCCTTCGTACACGCAAATAATAAGGGTTTACAACCTAGCATTTGATAGGAACAAAAACAATGATACATCAAATCAAATCTTCTATTAAAGACTTTTGTCCAGAGGTTCATCAAATGTGTTAGGTAGAATATTTGCCTTCTTACCTTCCATTCATAATCCAATTGCTTGATTGCTCTACAAACTTCTGCCATGATATCATTTGGTCGACTTTGACTTCTAATTCCCAAATGCCATTTTGCTTTCCGTACACCTTGGTGTTTGGATTTCTGTGGGTTTAATTCATCAAGGGTATGCCGTGCCCTTGGTGTTTCAGCAACCAAGAATGGTACTCTTTCAGGATGCGGCCGAGTTAAATGGTGATCATCGAGGAAAGAATCAGGGGGGCTTGTTGCCAAGTAGAAATCTTTGGCTTCGTTCATTATTCTCCTGTTGTCTATTATGAGATGGTAGGCAACCGCCAGTGGGTCCTGGTGATTTCTGTTGTACAGGCAGCTGAGAACCTCCTCTTCTGAGCATTCAAACTTCTCACACACTTCTTTTAAGGCTTCATCATCAATCATGGTTGAACTGTATGATGGATCCTCAGGAAACAGATATTTTGGAAGGTCCTGTTTAAACCATTCATGTTCCCTAAGAGAAAACAGCAGTGTGCGGAGGATTTTGAGTAAAGCCAAGAATAAAAATAATGCCTTTCAAGAGCTTAGGGTATGAATTAATTTACACTTATACCCACACTACATTACTACCTTTTAACTCTTTTCCTCTTCCAGCTCACACTTTATTGAATATACTAAAAAAAAAATGTTCTAACTTGCCACTAATTTTGAAGGATTGATGCAGCCAAGTAAAAAGGTATGTCTACTCAAATGACAAAATAGTTTTCTTCAGCTCAGAAAGAAATAATCTTGTGTGGCTTCACTGTTATACTCTTGTTTATACTGTTTCGTGTTACATGAAAAGAACTTAGAAACAAAAACACTACGCAATATCCTGAGTTCTTACTGTGTACTTAATTTTATGATAAGCAATTCATACATGTAAAATCTATCCTCCTCCTCACAACCCAGTTCCGTATGACTCAAAAGGCCCTTCTCTGAATGATTCCCGATTATATTATTTAATTGCATATGTAAAAGTATAGGGAACCATATCAAGAACTATGCTAAAACTCAGAAAACAAAAACAACAACAAAAACCACAGAGGAAAACGCCCAAAAGAATAATGGTTATCATCTAAGTGAAAGACATAAAAGCATTCTTTTATTCTCTTGAGTTTTGTTTGTTTGTATTGTAATTTTAACAGTGTATGTTTGTTTCTTTCCAACTGGAGACTGGTTTTTGAGACTGAATCTCACTATGTAGCCCAGGCTGGAATCGAAGTCACTATCATCCCCGCCTGAGCTTCCCAAGTCCTGGGATTACAGGTGTGCACCACCATTCACAGCGCTTTCTATCATACTTTCATTATGAAAAACTGCGTAAAACATATGCAAACATACTTCTCACGTAGATATTTTACAGTATCAGTTTAAGAGAATGAGGTTAAAGCCATGCCCTCTGCCACTTGGGATCTCCTTTCAGCAGGTTTGGTTTGGTTTGGTTTAGTTTTTTTGTGACAGGGTTACTCTACATAGCCCTGGCTGTCCTGAACTCACTATGTACACTATGTAGATCAGGGTGGCCATGAACTCACAAAGATCTGCCTGCCTCCACCTCCCAAGTGCTGAGATTGAAGGTGTAGGCCAGCACCACCTCGCTTCAGCAGAACTTTTAGCATAAGAAGTGAAAAAAAATAAAGCTTACATCACCTGATGAAGGTTAATGTTCAGAAGGATGCCTATATGTTTTTCTTTGGGTTCTCTTTCTTATTTAGCTTCTCTAAGAACCCGAATTATAGGCTCAATGTCCTTTATTTATGGCTAGAAACCAAATATGAGTGAGTACATCCCATGTTCCTCAATGGGTTTTTGATCCTACTGCACCTATTGGTTTTGTGGGAGCCTAGGCAGTTTGGATGCTCACCTCACTAGACCTGGATGGAGGTGGGTGGTCCTTGGACTTCCCACAGGGCAGGGAACCCTGATTGCTCTTTGGGCTGACGAGGGGGGGGGACTTCGTTGGGGGAGGGGGAGGGAAAGGGGAGGTGGCGGTGCGGAAGAGACAGAAATCTTAAATAAATAAATAAATAAATAAATAAATAAATAAATAAATAAACAAACAAAAATTAAAAAAAAAATAAAGCTTAGCCGGGCGGTGGTGGCGCACGCCTTTAATCCCAGCACTCCGGGAGGCAGAGGCAGGCGGATCTCTGTGAGTTCGAGACCAGCCTGGTCTACAGAGCTAGTTCCAGGACAGGAACCAAAAAGCTATGGAGAAACCCTGTCTTGAAAATCAAAAAATAAATAAATAAGTAAATAAATAAATAAATAAATAAATAATAAAGCTTAAATCCACATATAATCCTCTTCCTGCTTATTCTAATGCTTTCTTTTTTTTTTTTTTTTTTGGTTTTTCGAGACAGGGTTTCTCTGTGGCTTTGGAGCCTGTCCTGGCACTAGCTCTGTAGACCAGGCTGGTCTCGAACTCACAGAGATCCGCCTGCCTCTGCCTCCCGAGTGCTGGGATTAAAGGCGTGCGCCACCATCGCCCCGCTCTAATGCTTTCTTATTTATTACCCCTATATGCACAAAATTTTTCTTTCTTTCTTCCTCCAGTACCAGAAAAATGTGTAGTCTAGTCATCAGGATATCAACAAATTAAGGAAAACAAAAATAAGGGGGGGGGGGTGAGATAACAGTGTTGGCAGAACAAAGTCTCCAGTACATACTCTGAGTGTTCATGAGAAACGGCTCACCTCAACTTGAGAAGCCAATCTGTCACCATCCCTTCTGCCTTATTAAAACTATTAGGTTCAACCACAAACAATGCAACATTACCAATAAAACTCAGTTTCCTAGGACTCAAAGCATACTGCTAGGGAAAAAACTACATCATTAATAAAATGAAATTTCTCTCACGTCTTGAGATTCAAAACGGTAGGAAAGCCCGCTGGCCTGGAATTACCTGATATCTTTTACTGTGGCCCTCTTCATGGCATCCACCTGTAGCATATGCTTCAAAAGGCTGATCACAGAGGGATTGAGATACTGCGGGGTGTAAAATATCCCATCACAGATCTTCTTAAACAGAGTTGGCACATGGTCGTCATCAAAGGGGAGGGTTCCACATAGCAGGGCATAGAGGATGACCCCGCTGCTCCAGATGTCCACCTCAGGACCTGCGTACAATCTGAACAGGGGTGCAACTGCATTAATCAATAATCAACCCTCGTCAAACACAAATATTTTATGAAGACTACAAGAAAATCAGTTTTAAAGAAATCAGTGATCAGAACATGGTGTTTATAGCTGCACATCATGCATAAAGATGTAAATATCAGTATTACCTTTTCAAAGTTAAGATATTTTGTATATTATGAGCCATGGGAAAAACTGCTTTGCTACCTTACTTTGACCCTCAAAGGGTCCCACCAATAAGCCCAAAACTTGAACCATCATGCTCAATGTTGAATTTGAGCCACAGAGATAAAACACTGTTTTTCAATGACTTTTATTTTGTGCATGTATGTATGTGCGTGCACACACGTCTGTGTGTGCCATGTGCATATCTGTGCGTGTGCATAGTGAGTGTGGAGGTGAAAGGACAACTTGGTGGGAGTCAGTTCACCCCTTTGACCTTGACACAAGTTTCTGGGATCAAACTCAGGTCATCATTCTTGGCAGCAAGCACCTGACCAGCTGTGCCATCCCGCTGGGCCAAGATTAAATTCTGTACTGACAGACTCTGGACCCATTTCTCCTAAAACCCTCATGTCAAAGCTCAAAGAGCTCGAGGCTGTGGAAGCAAGCCACGGTAAGTGGGATTCTCAGAGCTCTCTAGACTTCTCCAAAGCACTCTGGAAATGAGTATTTTAACTAGCTACAAAAATAAATAGTCTCCTCTTCTCTCTCTTTCTCTCCCTCTCTCTCTGTCCCCCCCCTTCACCCTTCCACCTCCATAACCCCCTGAATAAACATTCAACCTCACCCTGCAAAAAAATAAAATAAAATAAAATAAAAATAAAAAAGCTGACTCATCCATTCAGAGTCTGACTTCAAGTGGAAAACATCTTTAAAATGACCAAATAAATTATTATAAATATCAGTAAAACCCTTTATTGAAAGTAAATGTTCTTATTCACCCAGACCTCAAAGAAAGACAATCCAAACTCAACAAACAGAGTACACTAACCACCCATTTTATGGATGCTTGATCATAAGGCACCACTTTGTTTTTGTTTTTGGTTCTTCGAGACAGGATTTCTCTGTAGCTTTAGAGCCTGTCCTGGAACTCACTCTGTAGACCAGGCCGGCCTCGAACTCACAGAGATCTGTCTGCTTCTGCCTCCCGAGTGCTGGGATTAAAGCCGTGCGCTACCACCACCCACTCAAGTTCTCAAATTCAGCATTCTCATATTTCAGTGTCTAGCAGATCCAGATTAAGACAAATGAATCTGACTTTCTCCCACCTGGCTTTTTCCTGACACAGGTCTATGTATACAGTCCTGACTCACAGCCTATGCGCAGTGCTCAGGTTACAGGTATGCACTACATCCAGCCAGTCTGACTCCTGGTTTTGGAGGACCTCTTCTTTAATTCAATCTCCTAAGACACGTTCTTTCCTCATAAAACATGAAGCTGCTACACAGATGGCATTTATTTGAATAATTATGAAACTATACATTACATTATACTTGTAACTCCATTTTGCTTTCTGTCTGGGTAGTTTTGGTTTTTGTTTGTTTGTATTTGTTTGTTTTTTGATATAGTGTATTAGGTAGCACAGAATGATCTCAACCTCTCAAGCTCTTGAATTACAAGCACAGACCCCTTAGAATGTTCTTTTTTTTTTTTTTTTGCCAAGTAAGCCATTTCTCATAAGTATTGGATAGTCAGGTTTTCAGTAACTTACCTATCTCCCTTTACAACTTATTTGCTTGAAATTCTCTTTCCAGCAGAAAAATTAAAGTATTCCATTCTAACCATTTTCAATTTTTTAAAATATTTATTATTATGTATACAATATTCTGTCTGTGTGTATGCCCGCAGGCCAGAAGAGGGCACCAGACCCCATTACAGATGGTTGTGAGTCACCATGTGGTTGCTGGGAATTGAACTCAGGACTTTTGGTAGAGCAGGCAATGGTCTAAACCTCTGAGCCATCTCTCCAGCCCCTATTCTAACCATTTTAATATGACTTGTAAACCAACATTTTCCTCTTTAAATGGATTTGCTAATTTATCTGCTATGTTTTTTATAAAACTTTTTTTATTCATGTGTGTGTATGTGTGTCTATAATGATATACACATGCATGCAACTGTTTGCAGAAAGCAAAAGAGAGTGTTGGGTCTCCTGGAGGTAAGTTAAGGCAACTGTGAGCTACCCAAAACGTGGGTGCTGAGACCTAAACTCTAGTCCTCTAGAAGAGAAGCCAGTGCTCTTAACCACAGAGCCATCTCTCCAGCTCCTTGTGTATTAGCCTTAAAATGCAAAATTTGCAGATAAGAAAACCCTTGTCCCTTCCTTCACTAGTATTAAATACGACAATTCAGACTAACAAAATCTAAAAGAATGAAGCAACTACAAATACATCATAAGTATCATAATATCAAACACACCTTCCTGAAATTACTTCTGGTGCAGCATAATTGGGTGAGCCACAGCTTGTCCTTAAAAATTCACCATCTGACATCATGTTTGAAAGACCTGAAAAGACAAACAACGGCCACTCAAGATTCCCCAAGGACAAAAACGAAAGTCCATTGAACAACACAGCTAAGTTTGTATTAACATGATCGCCTGCCCTTACACACAAATGCACAATGTATTTCGATGACTAGAGGTTAATGAGTACACAGTAAACTACTGACGGCGTTGCTTGCTAGGATAAATGGAAAATGTTTAACTTTCAATATCGTGATGGCTAGGCAAGATAATCTCAGATAAACAGAAAGATTTTGACCAGTCCTGATCTGTTCTATAAAAGCAAAACCTCAGCCCAGAGTGGTCACCCGAACCCATATTCTCTTTCCTTTTATGTAGCCCACTGTGGCCTTGAATCCACCTGCCTCCATTTCTGGCATTCTGGAACATGTGCGACCACATCTGAAATTCAACTTTTCAGTATTAGATATTTAAAAGTTTCCTCATATAGATTTCAATTTTTTGAATAATTCCATTCCACTTACTTTCCCTCTCTCCACACTTGACCAAAAGAATATATTAGAAATAAAACTGCTACCTTCTTTACAAATAATAACCTCTCTAATGACAACTTGAAATACTTATTATCACAAAACTAAATGTTACTGCTGGCAAGATGGCTGGCTAGGCAGGCAAAGGTGCTTACTACCAAGCCTGACAACCTGAGTTCAAGCTATAAGACCCAATGGTGGAAGAACGGAAACAACCCCCACGACTGTCCTTTGACATGTATATATGAGTCTGTGTGTGTGTGTGTGCATGCACATGTGTACACAAGAGTATGTATGCACGCACATGTGTGCATGTGCACAAAATAAAAATCTTTATACTCAGTTTTGAAGAAGAGAGTAACTTACTGTTTTCCCCTTTTGTATGCTCGTTTACAAGATGGGATTCTCAGCACTCATGCTAACTGATATTCAAACTGTCCTTACCAAAATCAGCTATCTTTGCATTCATGTGTGCATCAAGCAGGACGTTTTCAGGTTTCAAGTCCCTGTGGACCACCATGTGCCTGTGACAATAATCCACACCAGAAAGGATCTGTTGGAACAGACGGCGACTTTCCTTTTCGTCCAACTAGGAAAAATAGAAAATATTTTAAGCTGTGCATTAGATTAATTATTACAAGGTTCAATGGAAACTTTTCCTACTTATAATTCTCTAGCCAGAACTTTCCAAAGCATGAACCCTTCTAAGTGAACTTCACCCATGAGGTACTTTCAAAATGAGGAAGTAATACAGGTAAGCACTAACCTAAAATGCCAGGCATTTATGGGGACCTTGATCAGCAGCTCAACTTTCTGATCCTATCACCTGCACAGACTGCACACATGCACACACACACACACACACAAACTGTCTTCTTCTGTAGTTCATGGGTTAGTCCTAATAGTTTCAACTTCTACCTGAAACTAGGCATGCTTTCCACTCTAAGTTAGTGATGTTTAATCCTTCATTCTTTCAGTAAATATGTATTGAACATATTCAATATGCCATACAGGTTAGACATTCCTAACACAGAAATGAATGAAAGGCCCTACTTTAGTTGGGAGCGGGGGGGGGGGGGGGTGGCAGTTAAAAAAATACACCAGTGTAACAGTGGGGAAAAAAGGTCAGAATAATACAAAACGTGCTACGAAGGACAAATGCAAACCCATAGTCAAATAAATGGTCCTTGTCAAACTCACAAAACATCATGCAAATCATGCAAGTAAGGAAGGGGCCTGTAGGAAGGAGGGGGTGACAGGAGTGGGAGAGAAGAGAGCACAAGGAGTGAGAAACAGGAAGCACATAAGACATGGATGAAACCATCCAAGAACAAATTTAATTGATAAGAAAGGAAAGAAAAAGAATCTAGAAAGTGCTGTTGGGATGGGCTACTATTTCAGACTATGACGAAGTAACAATCAAGCACCTCAGATGAATTACAAAACAACCACAGTCTGTGTTCTGAAATTTAAGATTTTTTTTTTAACTATTATATGTGTATGAGGGAGAGAGGGAGAGAAGGAGAGAGAGAGAGAAAGAAAGAATACATCTACATATGAGTATCTACAGAGGCCAGATTTCTGAGGATCTAGAGTTAGAGACAGTCATGAGCCACCCTACATGGGTGCTAAGAACCAAACTCCAGACCTCTGAAAGAACAGCACACCCTCATGACTGCTGAGTTGTCTCTTAAGGCCCGAGATATTTTACTTAAACAAAAGAAAACTCTCAGCACTTTTTGCTTTTGCACATTTACCAAAACTGGGGGGGAGGGGGGGGACGGGACGACTTACAATACAATTAATACTTTTAAAATATAATCTTTTAAAAATAATCTTCAAAAATCTCCCCCATATTTTCTGATGTCTGCTCAACAAGTGATAACTACCACTGGTTTATACCTGCTCCAGGACAGCACTAAATAAACAAAGCTGCGGGTCCCCCAGACAAGGACTCTCCCACACAATCCTCCGGCAGCTCGTGAGTAAGCATTCTAAATCCAGAATTCTACACCTTCAACGCATGGATAATATGGGGGGAAAGATAAACCAGCATTTCTTGCAATGCAAAATTAAAACTGCTATAGAAGTATAAGATACCCTTCCTCAAGAAAAATGTATTAATATATTTGCAATCTAATGCTTTTATTTGTTCCAGTCAATGGTTATTTTAAAAATTTATGAAAGCAGGAGAAAAAAATTAACTAACAGACAATATAAAAAGTAAAATAAGTTGCTGGAGAGATGGCTCAGCGGTTAATAGCACTGACTGTTCTTCCAGATTCAATTTCCAGCACCCACATGGCAGTTCACAACTGTCTGTAAACTCTAGCTCCAGGGGATCCAACACCTGCATACAGACATACATGCAGGCAGTACATCAATGTACATAAAATAAAAATAAATCATTTTTTAAAAGAAGTAAAATAAGTAGAAAGGCTACAAAGGTTAAAAAATACTATATTTACAAAAATATAGTACAAGGAATGGCTGAGACTAAAGAGATGAACAAAATCAGAGCATCTCTCAGCTCATGAATATCACACACTCAGTCTTTTGTGCATGATCACAGCACCAGGATTCTATCAGCAATACACAAAGCTCATAAAACAAAAGGATCAAGAGACGAGCAGCCACTGAGGAGTGCCTGGACAGCAGAGGCAAACAGAGAAACGCAAAACCCAAAGCCTAGAGGAAGAAATAAGCACATGTGCATAGGAAATCCTGCAGGAGCTGGGGAACAAGATGTGCCAGGACCTTCCGAGGCAGAATGAGGGTGGGCTACAAACAAGACAGCTGGGCCCAGTGAGAACCTTTAAACTCCTCGCCACTGGGGAGTGAGACCTCGGGTTTCTCAAGCAGAGCCAAGCCAGACCATTCTCAACACTGTGGCGAGAACAAAGCATCGTAAGATGTGTCCTAAGTGACAACCAGCACACTAACAGAAGAGACCCCAACTCCAGCTCAGTTCCGACAGCTGAACTACCACCATCACCAAAACGGGAAACACCAAATACCAAATCAAATGAAGAAGAAAAATACATATGATTGTTGGTAAACAATTAACCCTACCCAAATTAACTGGTCTCCCAACAACTCAGCCTATGGGAAAAGCCACCAATCAATAAATCTTACACGTACATGAGCTTGGCATTTGGAACGTCATTCTAAAATTTTGAAATTTAAGAGGACATCCAAGAATCACCAGATCTGAGAAAGAATCATGGGGGGAAAAAAAGACAAATAAAATGAGCACCAAGAATGGAACAGTGCAGGAGCCAAAAGACAATTAAAACCAAAATGTTTCCTCGACCAGGTAAGGGTACATATCTGTGAGGCCAGACAGGAAGGCTGTCTAAAGGCAATTTCAGAAAATGAGGCAGATATCTGAAATACAGAAACACGATAGCCAAAACTTCAGCACTCAAAATGTAAAACGACATCCCCATAACGTAGCACAAAATGACTGAAAATGACAACCAGAACAAAAAGATGAGAAAGCAGGGATTATTTTAGGATTATTTATTCCTCTAGGGGATAGGAGTGGGGCCTTGAAGATGAGAAAGGGAATACTTTAAGCAGAAATTAAGCGTGCTGAGAAGTAAAGATTAACTTGGTTAGTGAGTTCTATTCCGATTACAGAGAAACGCTATATAAAATGAATGATGAATAATACACATATAACTTCAGACTGAGAGCAGGCAAAGGTCTTTGCCCAGTGCCAGGGGTGGGTCTCTTAGAAGGTACAGATCAGATGACCCGAGGCCAAGTTTGGGCAGGGGACAGTGCTCAGTATTCCCATCTATGACCTAAATGTCTCCAAAGTTCCTCCCAACGCTAATGTCTTCAAGTCTAACCCCTAAGGCCTCCACAAAGCTGTTCTCACTGTTCCAGGTACATAAGGGTTCAGAACCAAAGAATGAATGCAACTTAAATGATTTTGTAAGGATTACTTATAGCTTTAAGGTGCATATTAAAAGGGTTTGTATAGGCTGGGCACACCTTTATTCCCAGTATTTGAGAGGCAGAGGCAGGGAGATCTCTATGCAGTGGAAGCCAGAATGAACTACAGAGAGTTCCAGGCCAGCTAAGGTGGCATAGTGAGACCCAGTCTAAAAAAAAAAAAAAAAAGCTTTATACCCCAAAACATAAATCTGAGGATTATAAATTTTAGGGATTTAAGTGAACTCTATCACAATTAAATCATGTGACCTTGAAAGACTACTTAACTGGGAGGCTCAGTATCCACCTCTGTCTGTATAAGTGGCTCAGGGGCTCATCGCTGAGGTCTTTCTTTCTACCTCTAAGTAGCCTATGATTCTAAACAAATATGATTAAGGAACTGGTTACTAAGCAGACCTCTGAAAATTGCTTTCTGACATTCTAATCCAGATAAGGGGTACCGGGGAGTTACAAAATATGTACAGGATGAAATGAGAACTGCTTACCCTTCCATTTTTACAGATATAATCAAATAGCTCTCCTCCTGAGACATATTCCATCACCATGAAAATATCAGATGGTGTACTGATGACCTGGTACCTGGTGAGAGAAAACATTATCTACTGACATTAAAACATGTGTATTCATGCATTCAATAAAGATTCACTACGCACCTAATAAACCAGGTACTATGCTAGAAACCAGAAGGCTGTGAGGAACAAAGCCAGCCTCCTGTGTCTGTGATGCTCTTGACCCGGGGGCCAGGAAACAGAGTAAATGAGCATCACCTAGTGCAGAGCATGCAATGGAGGAGGGAAAGCAAACTCTTCTAGACAGAGCTCTCCAGGAAGGCCAGAGGACACCCGCGGAGAGCCTGAAGGAAGGAAGGCGCAGGCTGCATTACCCCGCATTACCCCGGAGGAAGGTGAACCAGGCAGAGGGGACAGCACGGGCAAGGGCCCAGGTGGGAGCCTGCTCGGCATGCTCATGGTAAGGCAAGAGCACAACAAGCCGGGAGAGAGACAGGACGTGGAGTCAGTCACGGGAGGCCAAAGATGCAGCATGTCACAAGCCAGGAAGGTAGAGACTTCGGGCTTTTACGTAAAGGAAGATGAAAAGCTATGGGATGTTCTGAATGCTGGCAGTCACATGATTTGCACAGTCAGAGAGTAAGTGACTGACTGAACGCTAAGAAGCTGAGCTCCTCCAGCAGCCCATGAGAGGGAGGATGGTCCAGACCAAGGTGATGGTGACAAAGCACGGAGAGAAAGACCGGAGGTCCACTCTGAAGGAAGAGATGGAGGGATGGTGTGAAGAGGATAAACAGGAGTGTTAGTGATGCTCTTAAGTTTTCATCCTGGGTCAAGTGGCAATTGGCCACTATGGTGAAAAGGGTGAGGCCAGCAGATCCCAGGAGATGATAAAGAGATGAGACTTGACCGCGTCTTCTGGAAGCCTCGTGGACATCCCAACAAGGATTATAAAGTAAGCAGTGGGCATAGGGCCCAGAGGGCAAAGCAAGAAATGTGCATGTAGGGTCGTCGGCAGATATGATATTTCAAAACACTCTAATAAATGAGAGATGAAAACCAAACAGTTTTTGAGCAGGCCAGTTCAACAGAAAAGTCCAAGCACTTTCAATTAGAGCACACATGGTGACACAGGGGTAAGAAATAAGTTCCGGTGCCCTCCTGCCACCCTAGGTGCCTCAGTCTGATGTGTGTCAGCAAGCACAAGCAGGTAGGGCAAACTACTTCTAGCACACAGTCGCTCATGAGCCTAATTCCAGCCTGTGGAAAGTGGAAACGAGAAACTGGGAGGTCAAGAATGCTCTGCCACCTTTTTAGCCTTTGGGTGGAACTGGAGACCAAACAAAGGGCCCGGCTCCTGCTACAGAAACTTTTACTAGAAAAATCAGTAGTTGGCTCTCTACATAAAAACAGAAGCACAAAGTGTTATCAGACAACAGGAAGAACAAGACTAAACATGCTAGGAACCACGGTAACACACGGGGCGGACTTTGTAATTGGCAGACAACGGGGCTGGATATGAAAGAAACCTCCAGTCTCAGAAACAGGGTGAAGGTCAGGCCTCTCTCTGGTTTGCCAGGTTAGGCAGGTTAACAAAGGGCATGGGCAGATGGCAGGACCAGGTTTGATAAGCTGGACTTACAGTTTTATTATGTGAGGGTGTCGGAAAAGCTTCAGGTTCTGGATTTCTCTGCGGATTTTCCCGACCACGTCAAGGCTTCGAATCTTCTGCCGGTTGAGTATCTTCACAGCAACTTTATGTCCAGTCAGTTCATGTTTGCCCACTGCAGAAGGAATAATTTTAATACATTAGCACCAGGTTTGATTGGCAATATACTTTGGAGTTATTATAATAGTAAGCTAAGCAATCTGAGAAAGTACTCGAGCATGTTTGCTTTCTGTCTCCCCGATTACACCCCTGAAAGTTTAGATGGTTAACTCAGGAGTACACCAGGAACTGCTTGCAGAGAATGGCTTTGGGAAGAAGGAACGCTAGAACAGTTATGGGAGAGCTAGGAGAAACTCTTCCCTCTTCCTGTATGCCTTCACTCAAATTCTTTTAACTTACTCTTCATTTTTAAACTATTGGATATATAAAATCAAACTATCTTTGATATGGCACTTTCCACAGATTTTCACGCTTGCGACTATCGTGTCAGGGTGTGTTACTTTTGTTTATGGTGCCATTTGTTTAATTCTGTGAAGCTGCGACACTGTCTAGAACACCTGATGGTCAAATAAAGATCTGAACAGTCAACAGTGAGGCAGGAGAAAGGATAGGAGGAGGGGCTGGCAGGCAGAGAGAATACACAAAAGGAGAAATCTGGGAGGTTCAAAGAAGTAGCCAGAGGAGGAGGAGGACATCAGGGGCCAACCATCCAGCTACACAGCAGTCCATGGAGTAAGAGTAAGATTTACAGGAGTAGGAAATGGGAAAAGCACAGCAGTATAAGGCAGAAGGGTCATCTAAGTTAAGAAAAGCTGGCAAAGCTGAACTAGGACTGAACGAGCATGGGATCAAACCTGACTCTCTGAATGTGGCTGACAATAGGGGCTGACTGAGAAGCCGATGATAATGGCACTGGGTTTTGATGCTACTGCATGTACTGGCTTTTGGGGATCCTAGTCTGTTTGGATGCTCACCTTCCTAGGCCTGGATGGAGGGGGGAGGGCCTTGGACTTCCCACAGGACAGGGTACCCTGCCTTCTCTTAGGACTGGAGGGGGTGGGGGAAGGGTGAGTGGGGGAGCGGGAGGGAAATGTAGCATGATACATGCCTATAACTGGGGAAAAGAGCAGTTGGGCAGAGACGAGGACCACTGGGTCTTACTAGCTAACTACCTAGTTCCATCTTCAAAAGTCAGAGAATGATAAAGCAGGCCACACCCTTGGGCCTGGCATGTACACATATAACACACACATGCACACCTACAAAACGAAATAAACTCCCCTGTGGCAGTGATATGCTTCCCCTATTACTAACAGCCCATGTACTTTTTTTCAGTTTTAGCTCTATGGTGTAGTTCCCATTTTCAAATATGAAATTTAAAAATAAGTGAGTTTAGTTTGGAGAGATGATTAAGTGGTTCCACCTTCGCTTCTGGAGGACTCAGGTTCGATTCCCAGCACCCACATAGTGGCCCATAACCATCCATAACTCCAGTTCCAAGGGATCCAATAACCTCTTCTGGCCCCCATGGGAACCACACACACACATAGTGCACAGATATATATGCTGTCGAAACACCCATGCACATAAAAAACAATAAATAGTTTTTAAAGGGATTCCATCTTGCCAAATGCTATGCCCACCCCAGCAGTCAACAGGCATAGAAGAATTCAGAATCTGCTACTGAGGCAAAGTCTCCAAAAGTTTAATATCTGTGTGTGCCCCTTCTCAGGAAGCTGGGGGAGAATATAGATCCTATCAAAATCAGAGTGGAAACAAACAAAAATGACCTCATATCTAGTTAAGAAGGGATCTGAGCCAGGTGGTTGGTTGTGCACACCTCTAATCCCAGCACATGGGAGGCAGAGAAAGGCAGATCTCTGTTAAGTTTGAGGCCAAAGCAATTTCCAGGACTTTATCTCAAAAAAACAAACAAACAAAAACAAAACCAAAAAAACACAGAGAGAGAAAAGAATAAGATCTAACAGTGTGCTGGCTTTCCTAGTCTTGGGAGCATTAATTACTCCCAGGTCCAGGCCGACAAGGGCTACAGAATGGAACACTGTCTCAAAAACAAAGTCAAGTGTGGTCATGCATGCCTGTAATGCCAGCTTATGAGAAGGAGAGAAAAGCTTAAGGTTATTTTTGCTACAAAGAGAGCTCAGGAGCAGTTTAAATGGCACCATCCCCAAAAGAGCCCACCCCCAAAAAACAGTACTGCAACTCAGGAGGAAAACTATGAAAACTCCCAGATGGTGGTGAAAGAAAAGCTACAGGAGCAGATGTCAGACAGCAGTGAATTCAGAACACAGCTGGGGCCCAAGACAGTCATTTTGAGGGAAGAGAGATGATAATCCTATGCCTTTGAGAATGTGGTATTATTAAAGCCAGGTGTGGTGGCTCAGGAAGGCATTCAGCATTAATTAATCCCAGCATTCGCACTGAGTTCAAGGCCAGCCTGGTCTACAAAGCGAGTTCTAGTACAGCCAGAGTTAAACAGAAAAACCTTGTCTTGGAGGAAGAAAAAAAAAAAAAACTATGGAATACTATTTGAGACAAAGATTTATTATAAAGGTACTAGAAGACATGGGAAATAGCCTTAATTTCAAAGAAAACCAGAAAAAAAAAAAAAAAAACAAATTAATTCATTAACTCAAGCCAGAAAAAAAAACTAAAAGTTCTATAAGAAATGAACTATGAACTATGAGGCCAGGTACAGTGGCACATACCTTTAATCCTAGAACTCAAGAGGCAGACAAAAGTGGATCTCTGTGACTGGAGGCCAATTTGGTCTACATAGTGAATTCCAGGCCATCCAGAGCTACATAGTGAGACCCTGTCTCAAAACACCAAGAAGAGAAAAGAAAAAAAAAACAAGCTAGGGTGTTGGTTTAGCAATTACTATTTATGTGTCACTGTGGAGGCGGGCTTTGAGGCTTCCTATGCTCAAGATACCACCCAGTGCCTCAGCTGACTTCCTGTTGCCTGCAAGATGTAGGACTCTCAACTACTCCTCCAGCACCTATCTGCCTGCACCCCATCATGCTCCCCACCATGATAATGGACTGAACCTCTGATTATAAGAGTTGTGTGGTCATGGGTGTCTCTTGACAGCAATAAAAACCCTAAGGTATTATTTATGCAGTCATAATGCTGAAAAATAAAGCAATTTTTAAAAATAGGATTTTAAATATATAAGGAAAATGGAAACACAAAGGAAAAAGTACAGGAAGAAGAAAATGCTAAAATTAGTGCAAAATCAAGAACATTCTAATCTCTAGCGTGGCTTTTGCCAATCTTGAATCCTAATTAGATGTGATTAAGTGCAGCAACTGTCACAGCCCCATTTGGGAAGTGCTTTCTGTCTGACAACTAGTTTATTGACACCTAATCTCATCGGTTCCAACTGTCCCCCAAATTCACAAGCTCTGGCACAGTGGGAACCTCTTCTCCATCAGCTATCAACTGAGCCACGACCGGAAAACAGGTCAAAGCAGGGTAAAGGCAGGCTCAAACCTGGAAGAATACTGGAAAACAGCCGGGCGGTGGTGGCGCACGCCTTTAATCCCAGCACTCGGGAGGCAGAGGCAGGCTATCTCTGTGAGTTCGCAGCCAGTTCCAGGACAGGCACCAAAGCTACAGAGAAACCCTGCCTCAATAAATGATTGATTGATAGATAGATAGATAGATAGATAGATAGATAGATAGATAGATAGATAGATACCAAACAAACAAAAACAAGGTAAACACTGACAGAAGAACCACAGACTAGAGGTAGATCCCTAGTCTGCACACACACATACACATCCCTAAATATACATGTACACCTGGCAACTAAAAACAGGTGTATGTGTATTGTGGTAGTTTGAATGTAACTGTCCCCCAAAGCTCATAGGGAGTGGATCCATTAGGAGGTGTGATTTTGTTGAAGTAGGCATGGCCTTGTTGGAGGAAATGTGTCACTGTAGGGGTGGGTTTTGAGATCACCTATGCTCCAGCTATGCCCTGTGACACAATTCACTTCCTGTTGCCTATTGATCAAGATGGAAAACTGTCAGCTCCTTCTCCAGCACCATGCCTTCCTGCACACTGCCATGTCGCACCATGATGAGAATGGACTAACCTCTGAAACTATAAGCCAGCCCAATCAAATGTTTTCCTTTACAAAAGCTGCTGTGGTCATGGTGTCTCTTCCCAGCAATTGAAACCCTAAGACATGGATGTGTGTGTGTGCGTGTGTGTGTGTGTGTGTGTGTGTGTGTGTGTGTACACAAAAAGCAACCTGAGTTGTGGCACACACCTGTAATCCTAGCACTAGGGAGCTAAGGCAAGAGGCCTGCCGAGAATTCTAGGCTAGTCTGGGCTACACAGCAAGACCTGTCTCTACACAACAAAGCAGGGCTACAGATGTCAACTCAGTGCTTACACAGCACAGTCAGGGTTTGAGCTCCAGCACTGTGTAACTGAGGGTGATGGTGCACCCTTGAATTCTAGCCCAAGGAAGGGGGAATCAGAAGTTCTGGGTTATCAATAGATAGACAGTCAAGGTCAGCCTGTGATACAGAAGACTGACATTTTAAAGAAAAGTCAGATATGGTGGTTCATGCCTACAACATCAGTGCTTAGAAGGCTGAGACAGGAGGACTGCCATGAGTTCAAGGCCAACTAAGGCTAATGTGTAAGACCCTATCTCAAAAAAGGAGAAAGAAAAAGGAGAAGGGAGGGAGGGAAGGAGGCAGGCAGGCAGGCAGGCAGAAAGGCAGAAAGAAACCTAGCATGGCTCAGGAGGTAAGGTTGCTTACTTACTACCAAGGCTGATAACCTGAGTTCAATTCCTAGTAGAAGGAAAGAACCAACTCCTCGAAGTTGTCTTCTGACCTCTACTAACACAACATGGTGCATACAGCCATACACATTCATAAACACACACACACATTTACACACACACATATATACGCATACTCATATGAGCACAGACTCACACACACACATGCTTTTTTAAAGCACAGAGGGACACAAAGAGAACAATGAGAATTCTACAACAGAAGGATTCAAGTCATTTGAAGGCATTATGATGCCAGGCGGTGGTGGCACATACCTTTAATTCCAGCACTG